ATTGGTGTATCACTGTTCTGATTGCATGATGGCATTTTTCATGTGTCCATGTATGAGTGCGCAGTTGTCTTTGGGGTTTTTTTCTTATAAAATCTACCAATGGTTGTTTATATTCCAAGCAGATCTTTCCTCTAAGTACAACTTCTAAAAAGTTAAAAAAAGCCTGCAGTATTTTGGTAGTTGTGTATATAGAGCACTTACTTAGACTGCTTTTCCTTAATTTATTGGTCAATAAACATACTTTGTCCTCAGAAATGAGAAATCAAAATCCTTCACAATTATTTCAGTTGTTCCACTTATTTATCTTAATATTTATGAGTATCTTGATTGATATAAACTGTATGTCATCATAATTTATAACTTGTTACATGGAATGCACTGTGTGAGTGCTTTAATTTTCCAATGATTCTAAAGATGCAGGGGATTGTGCTTAGAAGGAATGCAGAAAACCATTGGTATAAATCAACACAGAACTGCATTGTTCTTGCCCTGAAAATTTTGGATGCTGTCCCCAAACCTGCTGTTGGATCCATTACAGACCTGCCTGACTTGATTTTTCTTAAGAGCACAAGGGTCTAAAATAAATATAATACGATGGTATATGGGAGAGTGGAACACTCAAGTGAATAGGTGATGTGCAAATAAAGTCTTTGCGAAGGTGCCCTCCTGTACCAAGAGCTCTGTTTATCTTTTTAAGAGTACAAGAGCATTACTAGAAAAAATAAAGGAGGAAAAAGTATATAATGGGAAGACCATGAAAACAAGCTTTTCTAAGTTCTTTTTTTATTGATATTCTTCTTCTGTGGCTTTGTCTTACACTATATGATGGCAGGTTGGGCACTTACATTGCTCTTATTTCCAATTTGTACTATTATAAGTTCAGCATGGATCTCATAAAGAGCGTTAGTCCCTGCTTCATATGAGCTGAAAAATGTTATCAAATCTCATATCAAATGTAATTGCTTGTGGTAGAGCAGTGTCTTTCAAGAGGATGTCCAGTGTTAATTTACAAAATTCAAGGGGTATGACCAGCCAGTGTGATTACACTGATCTGTGGGATCTCTCCTTACCAGCCTGCGTATGAGGGCTTTTTGGGTAGATGCTGTATAGGGAAAGTAAGTTATGCAACTCAAGGGGGACTGGTAAAATTAAGGAGTGCAGATGAGTTGTTTGAGCCTGATATCTGCTAGAGAGCACTAAAATTGAGGGACGGGGGGGGTTTATGCCCCAGGATTTCAGTCCCAGTGTACATGGGGATAGTCTTGTTCCTTGCACTGTGTTTAGTGTCAGAAAATGAAAGAATTTGGTTTGCCATCCTTTTTGAAACAACCTTATACCTTTGCCTTAGATTTTTTTTTTCCCCTTTTTTCTTATGAGGTGCTGTCTTCTCAGTTGGTTTTGAGCTCCTTTAATTCTGAGTTAATAAATTAGTGATGTTAACCTTAATTTGCTTCCTGATCATTCAAAGTTAGTATTTAAAGTAAGCCTTGGGCTTGGCAGTTTCTTACTCACTCTCATCTTAATGGAAAACGAAAGCAACCAGATTATGTACCTTTCCCACTAAAAGTTTTTTAACTTACATCATTTGTATTTAAAAGCTCTGCCCTATACAGGTTAACTTAACACGTGGATTGCGATTGTTTCAGCTTTGCTCGGTACGGAGAAGCAGCTTTTCAGTTGCTGGTTGATACATTCCTGTATTAACACCAGCTGCCAAAGAACAAAACTTTCTGACAGAGTATGAGAGGAAACATTTCATTTTGGGTAAGCTAGCTACATGGACCAAGGATAAAAGGACCCCTTTTATATATACAGAGTGCTCAGAACACCTGGAATCCAAGGTGTTCCAATGAAATCACTTCTGTACAGTGATTCTTAGTATTTTTATGGATTTTACTGTGCAGTGTGTCATAACTTAAAGCTGCTATGACTGAGGTGATCCTGCTGGCTCAGGCAGGTGAAGTCTTCCAGATGTCCAAAGTTACCTGAATTTGTCTGACTCCCCTCTCACTGCGAAGTAACTGGACATAGAATCTTCTACACTGTACAGGAAGATATTGTATACCATATAGACTACTTAGGCTGCTCATATAGAGGTGAAAACATCAGTTGCAGTAACATGTAGAATCATAGAAAAATGTAGATGGGAAGGGACCTCTGGAGACTGAGAGCCTCAATTTTCTGCTTTAACTTCAAAGTTAAATCAGGTTGCTTAGGGTCTTGCCAAGTCAAATTTCTAAGTTCTCCAAGGTTGCTTGGATATACCGTTAAATGTCCGTCCTGTTCCAGTGTTCAGCCACCCTCGTGCTGAGGAGTTTCCTTACATCTATTTGGAATTTCCCTTGCAGCATCCTATGACTGTTGCCTGTTGGCCTTTTGCTGTGCCTGCCTGAGAAGAATCTGCCTCCACCCTTTGTATAACTCCCCATTGCATAGGTGAAGTAGTGGGCTCCTTTTCTTCTCCAGACTGAACAAACCCAAATCCCTTATGTCTTTCATCTCATGTCAGCCCTTTTGCTATTTTAATGGCCTTCTTCTGGATGTGCTCCAGTTTGCCTGTATCTCCTGTGCTGCATGGTCCAAAACTGTACAGTACTCTAGATGTGGCCTCACCAGCGCCAAGCAGAAGGGAATAATTCCCTTGACCTGCAGTTTATGCTCTTGCTTACACAGCTCAAACTATGGTTAGTTTTCGTTGCTTTAAGGGTGCACTGATGGCTTATGTTCCACTTGCTGTCCACTACAGTCTCCAAGTCCTTTTCTGCAGAGCTGCTGCCTGTCCAGTCTGCAGCTGTGATGTTTAGGGTTTTTTTAGGACACTTTACATTTGTCTTTGTTTAACTTTGTAAAGTTCCTGTTGGCTACTTCCTCCAGTTTGCTGAGGTCCCTCTGAATAGTGGCCCTGCCCTCCAACACATTGAATGCTTTTGCTGTTTTATATTATCTGTAAATTTGCTGAGGATGCTTTCTGTACTAGCATCCAAATCTGATTAAGACATTGACCAATATTGACCACTGAGGAATACTGTGTCTAACCAGTTGGCAGTTAGATTTAAAATTACTGACCTCATGGTCTAAGGAATTTTTTGTCCACCTATTTAGTCCACATCTCCTGTATCTCCTGCGTTTGACAGCCAGGATGCTATGGAAGACAGTGTTAAAAGCCTTGCTTAAGTCAAAACAACTGGCAACCACCGATTCTCTGTGGCCCACAGAGACACTTATTTCTTCAGAAGGCAGTCAGGTTGGTTGTATACGGCTTGCTTTTAGAAGCCTGTTGTCTGATTCCAGTCACATCCATGTCCATTGTGCCTAGAAACAGCTTCCCTTCAGGACTTGCTCGATGTTTTGTACACCTGATGAGGTGAGATTGACTACTATTTAGTTCTCTGGATCCTCTATCCCCTCCTGCCCCCACCTTGCACTTCTGTTGGGTTTTGTTTGTATGCTTTTTCCTGTCATAGGCAATCACCATGACTTTTCAAAGGTGATAGCCAGCAGCCTTGCTGCGGCATCAGCTAGCTTTCTTAGTGCTCTGAATGTTTCCCATCTGGTCTTACATAATTGTGTAGGTCCCGCTTACCTAAATAGTCTTTAACTTGATAGCTCCTCTCCCTCAGGCTTTGCTACTAGATGCAGAAACCTGTGAATCCTGATAGCAGACCTTGCTGATAAAGACCATGCCCAAGGTGCTGGGTACCTCAACTTTTTCTGTACGTTTATCACTAGGTTGCTTCCCAATTCAGTGGCTGAGTTACACTTTCCCCAGGCTGTCTTTTGCTGATGGTGTACTTGTAGAAGCATTTCTTCTTGCCTTTCACATTCCTCTTCAATATCAGCTCCAGGCAAGCTTTGGCCTCCCTAATTCAGTTTCTGCTTGCCCAGACAGTGCATCTATTCTCCTCCGGTTGCCTGTCCCCACTTCAACTTTACATATGTTTCTATTTCATTCGAGCTCAGTCAGTGAGGAGTCCCATGTACAGTCAGCTGGCCTCCTGCTGTGCCTGCTGATTTTTGTGCACATTGGGTAGGCTTGGTTTTGTGCTCCAAGAAGAGAGTTCAGTAAGGTGACTGACTGTAGCTTCCCAGGGCATGCTGCTTACCATTCCCTGAGCAAGCCCCAACTCTACTCTTGTGAGTCCAGAGTCTTTAGTCTACTGCTTTCCTTCCTTTCTTCCTTCAAGATCTTACACTACCACTTCACAATTACTGCATCCAAAGCTGCTGTTGGCTCTAATACGCATGAGCAGTTCTTCCTTATTCATGAGTACCAGATTCCGTACACACACACACACCCAGGAGCCTGTTCAGCACCAACATCAGAAATTCCTCCTAGTGCATGTGAGAAATTCCCTGGATATTTCACACCCTGCTATACTGCCCTTCCAGTAGATTTTGTGTGATTTAAGTCCTTCATGAGAACAAGGGGCTCTGAACATTGGAAAACCAGTCTAGGATGATGTTCCATGTACTGTGGTAACTGAAGATAAACTTCCCTTAACTAGGAGTCCTGAACCACAAGAAGCTGCTGTAAAGATATACCTATGATATTTTGATTTTATTTTGAAATGGAATACTAATTTTCTGTTCATTTTGAATTGCTACTTTAGTGCAGTCACAAATACTAATTCAGCTGATGCCTGTGGTCCAGCTGATGAGGCAAAATAACCTGGTTTTATATAGCATGGATACTTTGGTATCCATATTTGTTCACAACTAATGAACTTGCAAGTGATCTGAATGGGTTTGGTTTTTTTTTTTTTCTCTCAAAGATTTCTAGTTTCTAATTACCCTGTGGTAATTAAAGTGCAAGTACGCTTCAGATTGCACTGTATGGTTATCTTACATTCAGGCCATGCAAAAAATACTTGCACATATATATGTGCCAGAAACAACTCCTCATCCTCTTTAAGTGACTAATAAGAGATTTGTCCATTCATCATGATTGTATTTTGTTTCTTAGTAATTGGTAACTATGCTTCTTAATTTGTTTTAGTTGGAAGATGGGGAAGAAGAGCCGAGTAAAAACTCAGAAGTCAGGTACAGGAGCCACAGCGACAGTTTCTCCAAAGGAAATGTTGAATCTAATTAGTGAGTTATTGCAAAGTAAGTTTTGGTTTTATGCCTCTCTGGGAGAAGGGATGGTGTGCAGACCACTCAAAAATGTTCTGTTGTTGAAGCCAGTGAATTCTATTAATTTCCTGTAAGTGTCCAAGCTTGCTATTTCAGCCTGCTTAAGACAGTATGTATCTTATAGTATCTATCTGTTAGTATATACCATTATTGGCTTATTTATACGTGTATGTATTGGACATACCATATTTCTGGTAGCTTTTGGCTTTGCATTGCAACACAAGCATAATACTGGGGGAGATTAAGTTAAAAAAAAAAAAAGCAGATAACTTGACATTGAAGCTTTATGATAAATGTTTTTTTGTAAACCTCAAGAATCGCCCTATTACTGTTTATTACTTGAACAGTACTTTGAACTGGTATCAGAGTAGAGAAATAAACTGTGGAAAGCAGTGATACAACTCAGTTCAACTGCATTGATTTTTTGGTCACTTAAATTAGTTTTGTTGTTGATTGGAAACTTTTTGTAGCACTTTGTTCTTGTGTATAGATCAAAGGTTGTTTCACTTGTTGAGAAATTTGGAACTCCTCCATTATTTCTAGTAAATATGTAAAGCAGAGGATAATTTCTTATGATGATGCTAAAATACTGTTCACTCTTTCTACTGTCATTAGTAACTGTGCTGAGCTACACTTCTTGTTGAAACACAAGTCCAAATTTCCGTATCCTGGACACATCTAAATGTTGCCTTAGAAAAATTAGAATTTTTCTTTAGCATTGCTCACAAAAGGAGACAAGGAGTTGGCAGAGCAGTTTGATGCTTATGCTACAATTGGCCTCTGCTTTGCTACCAAAAATAGAACATAGATCTGATTTTCTAAGCAAAGACGAATATCAGCTGTTCTTTTTGTCAAGCTTCCATATTTTATTCAACGCAAAGATTTTCCAAATCAGTTGAGCAAGGTAATCTTCAGCTGTCCACTTGGATTTATGTGGCTTAGGTCAAGAAATCCACACACTGGCATTTAGAATATTGTCAGAGACACTGTGGATGTAATCTAAAGCTAAAGCTTGGCTAAGTCCTTCCAGTACACATGCATCTATGAAAACAGTATTGACCAGGCAGGTCAAATGTATGCACCAGCAAATTTCTCAATTACTTAAGGTAAGATCTGTGCTATTATCATCTGCTTTCATTACAGCAAGAATGATGGCAAACAAGCTACTGTAAACAGAGTGTTCTGCTTGGATTATTGCAAAGAGACCTTTTTTTTGTTTGTATTGTCTGAGAGACTGTCTACTTAATGGGCTGGTTGTTTACCTTTTTTTCTTCTTAGCTTATTAAACATTTGATGTTTCTTAAATCTGAAAGAATATTGCAAAAATACCTTGAGGCAAGTTATACTGTGAAATTTTTAAAAGCACCTGTTAATTACATTTCAAAGAATGCAAGAAGATATTTATAACAATGGAGATTATTGTGTTTACCACATGAACATGTTTGAAGGACAAGTAGTACTAAGGTCCAGTTAAAGTTGCTGTGAAACCATGACTCTTCCTCTGATGTTAAAACATACATACATATATATATATATATATGTATGTATGTATATATACACTTTGTTAAAGAAAACTTTTTCATTTGGCATTTTTATTTCCAGAATGCAGCAGTCCTACCCCAGGCCCTGGGAAGGAATGGGAAGAATATGTGCAAATTCGTTCACTTGTTGAGAAAATTCGCAAAAAGCAAAAAGGTAAATGTGAAAGACTGTAAGATAAGGGTGGCTCAGAGTATTGATTTGCCTAAAGAATTGTCTGTTGACAGCTAAAAGGAATATTTTTGTTGCTGTTGTTGTTATATAAATATTATGCAATCCTATTATTTTGGGATAAAAATCTTAATTCGCTGACATGCAGTTGCTTTTTACACTTTCAAGTGTTTCAGAAATATTCTAGCGGGCATAACCACTGGCATTAACCATTTTAATACTTATAATTGAGTGAATATTACAGACAGGTGATCCTGTGATAATTCTGCTCGATAAGTAGAAAAAAAGAGATTGAGATTGTGATGAGATGACAATCTGAAGGACTAGAAGTAAAAATACTTTGAGAATAATAGGCCTTTTTGATTCCTGATTGCATAGTCTTCCCTGCTGCCTCTATAAATCTGAATATTCTGAATTTAATTTTATAACTATTTTATTTTAGCCTGAATGCTTTACTGGACATGGAAACAGTTTCAGCAATTCAACATCATGACATTAAATTATGACAAAATAAAAATATATAAATACATCAGGTAATAAATCTAACTGCTATAAATCAAGCACATAATTAAAATAAAGAAATGCTTACAGTACCACAGTTAATATAGAGTTTTATTGCCAATTTTCCAATGTTTGATACACTTATTTTTCAAGTTAGAACACTTTTCTTCTGGTACGTTCTGCAATAACTCACTGTTGTTGATACTTTATTTTCATGTTAGCTTTATTTTTATTTGGAGGTATGCTCTAAAAAATGCTTTTCATGTAATTTCAGTAAAATTAACCTTTTTTTATCACTGTTGTATTATAATGGCAGAGAAATAGCAGTTCTTTCTTCTCTGATATTTATATGGTGATGGCAAAAAAGCCAGACTGCATTTAAAGTGGAGCTTGAGTGGTTCATGTACTCGCTTTAAAAACCAGAAGACTTTACTTAGAGGCTTGAAATGTCCTTTTCACACTTGCTTTTAATAATTTTGACTAACGCATAAGAATCTGACTTCATGAAAGGACATTTAAACCTCTGAACATCAGTTATTGGCAGAGGGCATATGGAAGAATAAATGATATTGTTTGAGTGACTGCATCCTGTAGCTCTGTAGAGGTGAACTTGATTCATTGTTTTGCTGTCCTGTGACTTCTGTAAACATATGGTACATGTCCTGCTTTTTATGATGTAATACATGTGTTACGGTAAAACATAATTCGTGTTAACAAGAACAGAGTTAGCACTGGAGTTGGGCTGCTCACTACATCTTTCTTCTGTGCCAGAAAGACTGAAACTTTCATGGGGAAAATGGCTGCTGGCAGAAGTGGTAGAATTAGTATAATGGTGTTATGTTAATAGGACATCTTTTTTTCCCTTGAAAGATGCAAAACCTACTAACCACAGCACTGTTGGCATACAAATGGTTTTTAACATATTTTTACATACATACTGAGTATGAGTAGTGTGGTGTCTTTCAAAACTATTTTTTAATGGAATGTAGTAATTTATACTACACAGTTTTCTAGCTTAATAAAAGCTTTAAACAATAGGCAAAAGAAGTATATATTGCTTTGGGGAACTCTTAAGATGTACAAATGAATATATGTTGCCTAAAGTGTCATACTTTGCTTTTCTTGAATAGAACACTGAATTGCAGAATGTGAACTAAAATGATCTTAATTATAGAAAAATCTTAATTTGAAAACTGAGTATTTTTACGTTCTAAAATTTTTCCTTGTTTGGCTCATTAGCAAAACTTTAAATAAAGCTAGTTTTTCAATATAGGTTTTCATCGGTATAGCTTTATTTTCATAGAATCATTGCTCCCCAATAGTGCTTGTAATTTAAAGGAGCTGCTTTTCTCTTAAATTTGGAAAAATATGGGAAGTATTGGACCACGTCATATAAGAGGAACAGAGGTACAATTTCAGAGATGCTTACAGAATGGTTCTAAATATAAGCTGGATGTTAAAAGCTTCCAGTAGCCTTATACAGTAGTCATTGTTGGAAATCAAGAGAGCAAAGTCCTGGACAGTAGAAACACCTATCACGTTCTGCAACTAGTCTTACTAAATCTGTGAAGCCTTAGCTCTAAATATATTCCACAGAAAACAGCATACTGAAAGGAGTATGAAATAACGGAGAAATGCCAGCTTATAAAAAAAAAAAAAAAAGCCCAAACACTGTGTACCATGTTTTCATTGCATTCAAAAAAATACTTTATCAATATTGAGTTTTAATACTGCATCATTGAAGCCTATAGTTTTAGATGGTATTTACACTTTTATGTTAACTGCAGATTTGATTGGTTCTGGGGCTTGAAATACATAATTTGGAGGGGGGCTGAAGATTTCAGATACACTAATTCTGCTTTCTTAAAATCCTTTTAATCTAAAGATGTATTTATCACCTGCACTTAACCAAAATATTTTTGGATGTAAGCAAGTTGCTGATGACATTTTGTCACTCATAAAATGGCCTGAGCATTTTGGGGGCATTTGAACAGTTTTAATGTGACCTGACACTAGAGTTTGGGTTGAAGAGAACACAGAGGCAAAGAGGTACGGAAAAAGCTGGCAGAGTGTAGCTGGGAACCATAATGCAGAGATTCAAATCAGATGAAGGTTAAGGGGAGAGCTGAGGAAAAGAGAGCTGCGATTTCACTGGTGGACCACATGCCTGTTGGAGAAGCCAAGTGTAAAAATTCAGATGAGCTCTGATGTCAGGAGGGTGACCAGTCCTTAGTTATTTTAGTAGATCCATACGCTACAGGAAAAAGCCAACTGCTGTATATGTGAGAGAAGGAGCCTGAGATCTGCTTATTGTCATTTCCACTGCTGAATTAATGAAATTGCAGCTTGCCTCTCAAATTCCTCCTTGTGTCTGTGTTAACGTGTTGTGGTGATTGCATTTATCATCAATATTAAGCTGGGAAATATTTTCACTCAGCTTACTTAAAATGGAAAGAGGAGAGGCGCTTCATATTTCATCACAGCTCAGTTTAGGTGGATGTGTTTTTAAGATGACTGGTAAGCCAATTTGGCAGAATATTTAAGTTAATGAAAATTGGGTATGACATTTGTATACTATTGAGTAACACTTAACAAAGACCAGTTCTGACTCAGCTACCTCAAAGTAGAACTGCTGTGGGATAGCAGATAGCTTTTTTTACATGTGCTTTTATATTGAATTTCTTTATCTTTCTAGATCCTCTTATGTCTGCATTTGTTTTTTAATAAATTGTGTATATAGGTTTGTCTGTTGTCTTTGATGGAAAAAGAGATGACTATTTCCCTGAATTGTTAAAGTGGGCAACTGAAAATGGAGCATCCACAGAAGGTTTTGAAATAACTAACTTTGAAGAGGAGGGGTTTGGTTTGAAAGCAACAAGAGAGATAAAGGTGAGCATGTGAACATTTGACTTAGATTAGAAAATTGTGTTTGGAAGGTAGCTGCTGAAACACTCACCACCTTCCCTTTCTCCTTTTGACTTATTGTGAAACTGCTGTTCTGAAATGCTCTCAACTCTGTACTTGAGAAATAAAATTATTGATAGAACTGAGTATTGTATTTTATGATTATTGGATAGTACTGTGAATTTTTAATCAGTCTTTTTTTATATTGCCTATACTGTTTACCTAATCACCAGAGTATTCTACCTCATTGATGTATCCCTCTCTTCCGTGTTTTCTAACTACGTAGTCTCATCTCTTCTTTTATATGCCTTCTTTTAAAGCACTGGTCCTTTTGCCTCAGAAAGAGGTATTTGCAATGCTTATTTTCTAATGAAAATGAAAAAAACCCCCAAATTACCTGGTAATTGTAAAAAATGTCTTTTGGTCATCAGATAAGGAATATAGACACACACAGTTAGCTAACTGTTAAAAGGTAAGTGTTTAAGATTGCCTGTTTCCATTCCCATTTTACAGATGGGAAACAGCTTTGAAGAACAATCAGCTGTTGTAGAAAGAATATTGGAAAACAAGCATATTGTATTCATTTTAGGGCTTTGGCAGCACATAGTTAATAAGGCTAGCGCTACTGGCTGACAAAAATCCTGAACAGTTCCTCTAAAATAAGAATGGGCAACATGAAAAAAAACTCTACTGGGAGATATTTGATCACGTAATGTATTTGGTAGCTTTGAGGTTGTCTGGGCAATCTATGTGTTAAGCAGTTCCAAACTGAAGCGCCATATTTTGTAAACTAAGTATCTTTTGTTTTAAGCTTTGTGTAATACAGATTGGAACATTTGGTTTACCACAATATGACCTATAGCATGTTTGTTTAATTTGCAGTGGAAGAGAAGGAAGAATTTTGATTTAAAAAAAAAAAAAAAATAGAAACAACCTGTAATTTAAGATGATGTATATTTGAGACACTTGGCATATCATATAAATGCTAACTGACCCTCTGTGCTTTTTTCCTTTCTGTAGGCTGAAGAGCTGTTTCTGTGGGTTCCTAGAAAACTGTTGATGACAGTTGAGTCAGCTAAAAATTCAGTATTAGGTAAGAGCTTAAGAAAATTCTTAAGCAAGAAATTGATATGTATGGGATCATTCAATAGGAGACTTTCTTTTCTTAGCTGGTCTCCTTTATTACAGGACTTGCTTATCACGCTGACCATAAGGTCTGGAATATCTAGAAGCTTGAAGTGTCAGTGGAATGAATTTAATTTTCCTCTTTGTTTCTGGCTGAGCGCACTAGATATCTTCCAGAACTGCATATGTTATTTTCAACACATATCACATAGCTTGTATAGCACTTGGAGATAAAATGTTCTGAGGTACTGAGAGTATTGTTCTAGTTTCTTCATGTCTTCCGTCATGCAATTGTATGAAGTGTTTACTGTGTCAGATAACTTGCAGTATAATACAATGTAGGCAGCTAAATATTTCAGAAACCTGAAAAGCTTTTTTTTGTTGAAAATTCTTACATGCTATCTCACCATGTTCATTTAAAGTAAATCTAGGATCATATTTTCCATGGACAATTAATTTAGTGCCTCACCTTTCTGGGTTAATTCAGGATCCCTGTATTCTCAAGATCGAATTCTTCAAGCCATGGGCAATATAACATTGGCATTCCATCTTCTTTGTGAGCGAGCCAACCCCAGCTCTTTCTGGCTGCCCTACATCCAGACACTTCCCAGTGAATATGACACTCCTCTCTATTTTGAAGAAGATGAAGTGCAGTATCTTCAGTCAACTCAGGCCATACATGATGTTTTTAGCCAATATAAAAATACAGCTCGACAATATGCCTATTTCTACAAAGTTATTCAGGTAAGCATCTTAAATGTAGTACATAGTATATGTTGTTCTCATGATGATTATTGAGGAAGGTGTGAAAACAGTGATGCTAAATAATAGAGCACACGTACTTCTCTTAAAGGCTTGAATCATTAAAGCTTTTTTTTGAACTGCTGTTAAAATTTTATAGTTCAGTAGGCTTATGAATATATAAGAATGTATTTAGTTGATGGAGAGGAGTGATTACTGCTCTGTTTGGCATTGGGTGAGGCTTCATCTGAATACTGTACAAGTTGGGCCCACCAGTACAAGAGACATGTTGACAAACTGGAATTAGATCAGAGGAGAGATACTAAAGATGTCGTTTGCTTCAGCCATACGAGGAGAGATTGAAGGTGCTGGATTTGTTTATTCTGGGGAAAAGGAGATAAGGGATGATCCAGTTATTGCTTTCTACTTGCTACTGGTACCCACACTCCCAAAGTTTGCCTGTGGGAAGTTGGACTAGGTGACCTGCAGAGATCTGCAATGTATGCCTCTCTGACTCTTTGAGAAATGTATAGTTTGCAGTAAACAAAGTAAAATTATAATTGTTAATTGACATAGAATAAAACCATTGCATATGCTATATTTCCAATGACCGTGGATTAACTGTTGTTTTCTATTCTATTTAACATAATTATTTTGATTGCTTTCAAACACAAAGATAAAACCCATCTGGTAACAATTTGAGTATGGGAAGGCTTGAGATGGGTGAACTTTTCATCATGTTATGAAATAATGATTTAAATTGAGTTTCTAAGATAGAACTGTTACTCTGATGTCTAGACATAATTGATGTTGTAAGTAAATGGTGATGTGTTGTTGTCAAGGTACTGCTCAATGTCCAAACATCCCAAGCTTTTTGTGGCACAATCTGTGTAAAAAGCATATGACTCTATGTACTGAATTTCCTCGATTGTGTAATCTGGAGACATTTTTTGGCCATAGGAGAGGTCAGAAGACATAAAGCAATTCTATTTTCCTTTAGTTTTATCAGAGTTCCATAGCTTTTCTGTTAACTGTTTTAAGGCACCGAAAGTTAAATTACTTTGCGTAGCTGTTTGGTGCTTGAAGAATTTCATGTCTTACAAACACAGTGTCAATTTACCACGTATAAGGAGCAGAGGGATACATTTTGAAAACTGTAAAGTCATTGAAAATAGTGGGTGAAAACCAAATAAGATGCACTTCATTTGAGGTGAGGAATAGGGGAGGAACAATGACTTTAATATGAGGAAGGAACAAAATTCTTCCTTCCAGGTCTCACAATTCAGGAAACGATGGCTTAGCCAACTCCCTTTTCTTGCCATGTGCTATTCTAGGCTGCCAGTCCACACTTGACCTTCCAGCTTTTCACTTTTTTTTTTCTCCAAGTACATTGCCTGAGCAAACAGAACTCCTAAATTTTATTTCTTTAGAATATCTTTTTACCCCTAAATAGTTCTACTGCTTTTAAAGAGTTATTAGCAGAATAGTGTGTAACATTATCCAGTTCTTCCATCTGCTATTCATGCTCTTGCAGTACTTAATCAGATAGATAAACTATCCCTATGGCTAGTTCCATCATTTTCGTTGACTAATCCTGCACTAGTGGAGGTTTATGTGAGAGGTTATGTGGTCATAACATTAATTAAAAAAGACCCTGAAATACAGTTTTACAAAGAAATGAGATCTGGAATGAAATCCTGGGTTTTGACTGCAATGTTTCCAGTATTTCAGAACCTCTTCTCAGTGATTGATGAATACATGTAGACTGATATCAAAGCGATGCAAACCCAACTGAAGAATGTATATAAAATTCAGTGGCGTAACATCAGTTGAAGCATGAGATACCTATTATCTGAAAAGCAGCTTAAATCTTTGTCAAAACACTTTTTGTTTATGAAAGTTTCGTGTGGCACATGATCTGCTTAAGGAAGGCAAACACATGCTATTTCTTTTACTGTCTCTTAGAGCTAATCAAAGATGACTTGTAAAGCATTTAAGCTAATGTGGTCAAAGTAATGTCTCACTAAAAAATGATGTCTATTTCCCATCAAAGTCCATGCTGTTGACTGTTAAGAGTAAGAAAAGCTACAGTTTGAGCAAAGAAAATAATGTGTGTGAGATGACTTTAGGGGCAGACTGTCTGTAGAACCCCAGTGATGGTGATGTGCTGTACATGATAACAAGCCTTTGATACTCTGCACTGTTACATTTTCTGTTTTACATTTGCAATTCTATGGAAGCTGATATGGCAGCTCATGGAGGAAGACTTCTCAGTCTGATATTGTTGAGACTGATTCAGTTTGGTTTGATCTGCAGCAATGGGAAACCTTTGTGGAAATAGTGTTTAAATAAATGGCTTTCTTCTCTTTGAGCTTTATATTGGTATACCCAAGAAAGTGTTTAGTACTGTACTGTTGCCTCTTGTATGAACTGTTAATGCGTAGGTTCTGGTCACTTGTGATCAGAAATCTAGACCAGATTTTTTTTTTATTCTCCTGACAAATGCTTTTATTGCTTGTTTTATATTCTTGTATAATATAGCGGTTGTTTCATGTTGAACGTAAGCATGAAGGTAGATCAGGTAGGAATCATTTGCTTTATTTACTTGTTCTTTGGAGAATGAGTGGTAATAAATACTAGGTAAATTTTATGTGTTCATAAAGTGAATGCTAGATTTCTCTATACCATCATTTCATTCAGTACCACTACTGCTTTAGCATAAGCGTTTTAATGAAAGCTGTCCTCTGTGACCAGGATTTTGATAGTGCTTCAGGTATGCAGACTAATATTTTTTTTTTAAATTTACAAGTACACTTTTTGTAATACAAAAATCTTGTATTTACTTCCTTTATAGCTATTTTACTACAGAAAGTAAAACTAGTAGAATCTTGAAATAAAAGGTGTTTTGTTGCTATTTGAAGACGCTGAAAAAGGGAATATTTTGTGCAGGCAAAATATTTTAATTCCTCTGCAGCGTTTTTAGGCTGCAAAATGTTTCTAATGGCTGGGGAAATTAAAGGGTTAAAAAATCATTTCTTCCAATGCTTCCTTTTCTTTCCAGATAGGATTGCCAGACTGTTATTAAAATAATTTGGCTTCTGATAGGTGTGCAGTTTTAAACACTGTTTGACAAGTGCTGGTCTGTTTTATTTCCCTAGCTTCTCCCTAAGTGTGGCTTTCTCAGAATGCTGCTGTTCTAACTCTTTCTCCAAGTGCTTAATCTGGATACAGATGAAGAATGGGCAGATTTATGAATTTCACAGCTGTTGCAAGCTAAACTGCAGTCTGGTTTGATAAGCAGAAACAGGTGGGATGTGGAGTAGACAAAAATAAACCCTTGAGCATGTTAGCCAGGCTCTATAAACCACACTGACACCTTTCTAAACATATGTAATTTGATAACTAAAAAAATAGTTAAAAGTTCTTACAGATGTACTTTAAAGGCGTATTTGGCCCCTGCACTGCTATCAAAATACAGCTAATGGTCAAAAGACTTGTAGTTTGCAAGATGGTTTTGTATTTTGTTCCAAAGAGAAATTTTGTAAACTGCATTTTCCCTTCCCCAGGAAGGTACGCGTGTGAGTTCCATATAACATTTATGGGCATTGCATGCCTACTGAAGGGTGAACAGAGCCCAGGTATTTATGGCTTAATGTTAAATTTTTTTTTTTTGTACACTGAAATGTGGTGTAGTAGGCACAAGAGGGAGCCATATAGTTTACAGACATTCACAGTGAGATTATATTCCTAAAGAAAATACAACCAAGTTTGAATCTTCTTTAAAAGAATATGCAGAGGTCTTCGTGTTTGACTTTGTTACATCGGCATGCCTGTTTGCAGTCTGCTACAGAGAAGTTTCTGTAAATCAAAACAAGACATCAAGACAAGGAGTGCTCTTAGTGAAGGTAGAAGTGCCCAAACTCTATTCACGTTTTGGACACCACGGGTCTGAAGCAGTGTTGTATCTTTTACCTGGGTGTAGTAAAAGCTGTCATTACCTGCCTTACTAAAAGACAATTTTATAATTTTAGTTAACTTTCAAAATCTTTGCAGTGGTAAGTCTGAAAACCAGCAGAGCCTATCAGCTAGCCATAGCTTTTGCCATGGTAGCCAGCTGATGCGTTCAGTGACACTCTTAAGTGTAAGTGGTACCTGTGTGTAGCTGCCTGTCATGTGCTAGAAAAAGGATCAGTTTTGCAGGACTGTCCAGGGTTGCAGTTTGGCATTGATTGAGACAGTGTTTTCAGCATGTGGTCTCTGCACCGCTGGGGGACTGCAGAATTTTCCGAAGGGTACCAGCAAGCTAGCTGTCTGGGGGTGGGGGGGGAAATATGGAGTGACACTGTAGTGGGCATCTGCTATAGGCTGCCTGATCAGGAGGAAGGAGTGGATGAAGCCTTCCACAGACAGCTAGAAATAGCTTAATGTTTGCAGGCCCTGGTCCTCATGGGGCACTTCAACTACTCCAATATCTGTTAAAGGGACAACACAGCAGGGTATAAGCAATCCAGGAGGTTTGTGGAGAGCATTGACGGCAACTTTCTCACCCAAGCAATAGAGGAGCCAATGAGGAGAGGTGCTACTCTGATTCATGGACCTCATACTTACAAACAAGGCAGGGTTTGGTGGGGATGTGAAGGTTGATGAGCCTTGGCTGCAGTGACCATGAGATGGTGGAGTTCAGGATCCTGAGAGAAAGGAGCAGAGCAAAAAGCAAAGTCACAGTGCTGGACTTCAGGAGAGCAGTATTGGCCTCTTCGTGGATCTACTTGGAAGAGTCCCATGGGATAAGGCTCTGGAGGAAAGAAGGACCCAAGAAAGAAAACATGGTTAATTTGAAGGATCACCTCCTCCAAGTTCAAGAGCAGTCCATCCCAATGAGCAGGAAGTCAGGCAAAAATACCAGGAGGCCTGCATGGATGAGCAAGGAGTTCCTGGCAAAACTCAAACGCACAAAGGAAGCCTACAGAGGGTAGAAGCAGGGGCAGGTAACCTGAGAGGAATACAGGGGCATTGCCCAATTGTCTAGAGATGAGGTTAGGAAAGCTAAAGCCCGGCAGGAATTGAACCTGGCAAGGGATATGTCAAAGGCAACCAAAAGGGCTTCTGTAAGTAGCATGCCTGTGGGATGGGATGCCATCCAGAGGGACCTGGACAAGCTCAAGAAGTGGGCTCATGTGAATGTCATGAGGTTCAACAAGGCCAAATGCAAGGTCCTGCACCTGTGTCAGGGCAACCCCAGTATCAATACAGGCTGGGGGATGAAAGGATTGAGAGCAGTCCTGTGGAGAAGGACTTGGGGGTGAGCTGGCAACCTGCCTTCACAACAGAGAAGGCTGGGCTGCATCAAAAGAAGCGTGGCCAGCAGGTCAAGGGGGGTGATTCTGCCCCTCTACTCTGCTCTGGTGAGACCCTACCTGCAGTCCTACGTCTGGCTCTGAGGCCTTCAGCACAAGAAAGACCTGGACCTCTTGGAGTGGTTCTAGAGGGGGGGCCACAAAGATGATCCAAGGGCTGGAGCACCTCTCCTACAAGGACAGTCTGAGAGAGTTGGGGTTATTCAGCCTGGAGAAGAGAAGGCTGCAGGGAGACCTTATTGCAGCCTTTCAGTACTTAAAAGGGGTTTATAAGGAAGATGAGAACGAACTTGTAGGAGGGCTTCCTGTGAGAGGACAAAGGGTAACGGTTTTAAACTAAGAGGGTAGATTCAGACTTAGGTATAAGGAAGAATTTTTTTACAGTGGGGGTGGTGAAACACTGGCACAGGTTGGCCAGAGAGGTGGTAGATGCCCCATCCCTGGAAACATTCAAGGCCAGGTTGGACTGGGCTCTGAGCAACCTGATCTGGTTGAAGATGTCCCTGCTCATTGCAGAGTGGGGTTGGACTAGATGACCTTTAAAGGTCCCTTCCAACCCAAACCATTCTGTGATTCTGTGACTCTCAGTGATCTCTGAGTGATCATGATGATTGGGAGAGTTGCCTGAGGACTGGAGGAAAGCAAATGCTATTCCTATCCTCAGGAAGGGCAGGAAGGAGGACCTAGGGAACTACAAGCCTGTCAGCCTCACTTCGATCCCTGGGAAGGTTCCATCCAGTGGGACCTTGACAGGCTGGAGAAATGGGCTCACAGTTGATGCAGTTCAACAAGAAGTGCAAAGTCCTGCACTTGGGGTGGAATAATCCCATGAATATGTTGGGGGCCAAGTTGAACATGAGTCAGCAATGTGCCCTTGCAGGAAAAAGGGCTAATGGCATCATGGGCTACGTTAGGAGTGTTGCCAGCAGGTCCAGGGCGATGGTATTTCCCCTCTACTCAACACTGGTGAGGCCGCACCCAGAGTCCTGTGTCCAGTGCTGGGCTTCCCAGTACAAGAGAGATTGGTAAGTAAGAATTTTAGAATTAAACCGAATGGAGAAAGCAAAGTCACCTGTTTAAGTAACATTTTAGCAAGTAAATTTAATTTTCTTTGACTCAGTTCTATGTTTCTTTGCTAAGTTAATGAGCAAATACTTGCAAATTCTTTCTTTGCCTTCTGTCAAGCTACTGTTACTCAAGACGGCAGAAGCTTCCCCATGAATCACACCTTTTTTTTTTTTTTTTCATAGAAACTATTTGGTAGAAGTCATTAATACTTTTAGATAGCATCTGTAGTCTGGTTTGTATCCAGTGTTCCACAGGAATGCTCTCATACCAGTTTTCTGACTAGTTTGTACTGACATCTGGACAGTGCTTGTGGAAGTGTTGTCATCCCATTATAAATACAATCCTTGCAGTAATCTATCCAAAGCTGTTTTGATCTGTTTGTGTGCACTATTGGACAGAGAACTTAATTTCCTGAAGGCTGTAATCCCTTTTGATCAGATACTAAATTTGATTTATTATTCATATAAAATTTGACTAATTGATTTAGCGTGAATGAAATGCTAAAATCTAGTTATTAGCTGTTGGGCACTGGAATATCATTTTAGTTAGGACGTTTTAACACCTTAAGTTCTAGATCTCAAAAAATATTATAGCATCTTTAAAATCTGGTATCACATTTGACTTCAATATTGGGTATATTAGGTGAGATTTCACATCTCTAGCTTAATTTTGACACCAATTTTTGAAGTTGTGATGATACTTTCAATATGACTTCTGCTGCTCTTACGTTATTTTTCTGCACTGTTTCTAATCTGTCCTATTCCAATAAGCATATGATTTTCCAGGTCAGTGTGAAGTAGAACGTCTGGTGTCTCTCTGTGCTTGGCTTTAAGGTACCACCATTTAACTTTCATGTGCTGAATAATGTTTGAGTTGAATGCAGA